TCTGATTTTTTTTACCTTTATACCAACCTGTCATTATCTGAAGTTTGTTACCTGAATACCTCCCTGTCATTGCCTGAGATTTGTTGCCTGAATACCACCCTGTCATTGTCTGAGGTTTGTTACCTGAATACCACCCTGTCATTGTCTGAGGTTTGTTACCTGAATACCACCCTGTCATTATCTGAGGTTTGTTACCTGAATACCACCCTGTCATTGTCTGCGGTTTGTTACCTGAATACCACCCTGTCATTGTCTGAAGTTTGTTACCTGTATACCAACCTGTTATTATCTGAAGTTTGTTACCTGAATACCACGCTGTCATTGTCTGAAGTTTGTTACCTGAATACCACCCTGTTGTTATCTGAAGTTTGTTACCTGAATACCACCCTGTCATTGTCTGAAGTTTGTTACCTGAATACCACCCTGTCATTGTCTGAAGTTTGTTATCTGAATACCACCCTGTCATAGGCTGAAGTTTGTTACCTGTATACCACCCTTTTACGTGAATACCACCCTGTCATTGTCTGAAGTTTCTTACCTGAATACCATCCTTTTACGTGAATACCACCCTGTCATTGTCTGAAATTTCTTACCTGAATACCACCCTGTCATTGTCTGAAGTTTCTTACCTGAATACCACCCTTTTACGTGAATACCACCCTGTCATTGTCTGAAGTTTGTTACCTGAATACCACCCTGTCATTGTCTGAAGTTTGTTACCTGTATACCTCCCTGTCATTGTCTGAAGTTTGTTACCTGAATACCACGCTGTCATTGTCTGAAGTTTGTTACCTGAATACCACCCTGTCATAGGCTGAAGTTTGTTACCTGTATACCACCCTGTTACCTGAATGCCACCCTGTCATTGTCTGAGGTTTGTTATCTGAATACCACCCTGTCATTGTCTGAAGTTTGTTTCCTGAATACCACCCTGTCCTTGTCTGAAGTTTGTTACCTGAATATCACCCTGTTACCTGAAATTTGTGACACCATACCACTGCGCATACAACCGACAAAAGGCCCACAGCTAAACATGATATTCTGAGCTAGACTGGCGGAAACCCTCTTAATTTGATGGAAACAAACGACTGTAAATTATATTGAAAAAAGGAACTGAGAGTGAGATAGGAGAATTTTTCCCATTGTTCACCAGTGAGACGAACTCTTGGTCACTGAAATGATATGCATTGATGGACAGAATCAGTTCCTTAAATTGAAAGGAAGCCCAAGTGAGATTCCCGAGTTTGCAGAAATTCTACACTTGCTTCATTTTGAGCTTCAACAGCGATAGCTGGACTCTGGACATTAGTTTTCAGTATGGGACAGATTATTCTAAAGGTAGAATTGTCAGGTCAGCGGCTGGTCATTTATTGCAGAGAGGGCCTAGTATATGTATGCATAAGCAGGAGCCAGAATCAATCTCATTTTAATGTGACCCGAGGTTCGGCTAACAATTATTGGAATGTGACTCTTAATGTCTGTTTGTTTCCACCATGCCGGTATGGGGACCTGTCTTGACGTAGACATACATAAGTATGACTGACTGAGTTTGGTTTTACGCCGCTTTTAGCAATATTCCAGCAATATCACGGCAGGGGACACCAGAATGTGCAATAGATGTATGCATGTAAAAGTGTTCATGAAATGTGTAAAATAATTGTGTAACTGTGTGAGATTTTTTTCCTTTTTGTACTTAAAGTCATCATTAAATATTGGGTAACCAAATATTCTCTGACCGGCTTGGGTGACCAAATATCACAGACCGACAGGGGAGCAAAAGACTGACTAACTGAGTTTGGTTTTACGCCGCTTTTAGCAATATTCCAGCAATATCACGGCGGGGGACACCAGAAATGGGCGTCACACATTGTGCCCATGTGGGGAATCGAACCCGGGTCTTCGTCGTGACGAGCCAACGCTTTAACCACGAGGCTACCCCACCGCCCCTCCATACATAAATGAAAGGCTGCCTTTCTACTACATACTCGGGATAGGTACTGGTACATATTGAAAGTGACACCGGCGATACCCTCGCTCTTTTACAGACACCTGGTGTCATCCGTATATGATAGCAAGTCCGATTCACATACTGATGATGATCGGAATTGTTCCCACAACTCTGCTCCTGGTGAAGACTTCCCATGAATATGGAAAAGGATTTAACGATTTGTGGTCATTTTCGAGCTGATGTTCTTGGGCAGTGACACTGACAATTAAACTGAGGATACAGGTGTCGTAGTGTTTTAAGACACAACAGCTTGCTCTGTAGCGTTGTATCCCTCGGACACGACATGAACCTATCTTCACGTTTCCAATTCAAAATTGACGAACATATTCAACAGCAGACATCTCAGCATCCACTATTGTAAGGTGTTCCAAAAGGACAGGGTAATTATAGTGTCGTGCTGGGCCAAAATGAAATATCAAATCGAAAACTTTTATTTTTTGTGTTGTTGTTTAACGCCACATTTAGCAATATTCCGGCTATATGACGGCGGTCTGTAAATAATCGGGTCCGCGCCAGGCAATCCAGTGAGCAACATCATGAGCATCGATGTACGCAATTGGGATACGATCACATGTGTCAACCAAGTCAGCGAGCCTGACTACCTGATCCCGTTAGTCGCCTCTTAAGACAAGAATTCAAAACCCGGATCTTCACGGTTTCTGAACCTTCAAGAAAATTTATATGCATAATATTGGAAAGAAAGTTGTCTGAGATTTTCAAGCGGATGATTACTGGGTTTCTTTTTTCAGTCATACACGTTTTAGTTTTCTGATCTAAGTATAATAATTAAAACCTACGAAACGTATTTAGGCTGAGAAAAGTTCGCTTTCATAAATCATAACCATAACGCATAACGTGACATAACAAATTATTAGAAATGCATTAAGTGTCTTTAACAAAAATAATTAGATTAAAACAGAAATGCATAAAGTGCCTTTAAACACTAATAATTTGTTGAAAACAGAATAGCATAAAGTGTCTTTAACAATAATAATTAGTTGAAAACAGAAAACGTAATGAACTTTTAGCAACTATCGTTATAACGCCAATAATCAGAAATGCTACTTTTCACCGAACATGAAAAGAATACAATCACAGATCAACTGTTTATGCCTGGCATGGATTTTCGGAATTAATGTAACGTATGAGACAGTGATCTGTATTAGATTACCGGTAGTATCCCATTTTTGACAGCGTCTTGGTCACAGACTAGTTAAGGCGTGATGTCAAAACTGGGACTAACTGGGACTAACAGAATGACCACTGCCTAAACTGGGATAACTGGTTTGTTTTAGTCGTAGTCGTATCCGGAGCTGCTGTTACAGTAGCTCCCACAATCACTGGCTAATCAGGGATTAATTAACATGTGTGAGCCGAGGACTGTCACAGTTGGGACGACCGGTAAGCTCATTGTCAAAATTGGGACAACTGGCTAGAGCAATTACAGAAGTGTGAAATTTCATTGTCAAAATTGGGACTGTCAAAATCGGTACTAAACCAAATTACCTAATCTAGGTTTAGAAAGAGCTGGGTCGTCCTCAAGGCGGCATACTCCTACAGCTAGTGTTCACAACTGTAGCTGCATAACGCACCACCGCCTTGACATGCTTCGATAAAAATAGACCATTTCAACTGAATACGCAAGTGTTGTCAGTTTGTGTCATAAAGGCTGTCATAAAAAGACGCGTGGAACGTGACTGAATGGAAATATGTAAATGAGGTCCATATAGAGCAAAGTACAGCCGACCCTCTCCAGTCATTCATGGGTTCGCCTATTGTATATGTGTTGGATCAAATCCCATTCGATATAGACAGTGACCTCAGACTTAAACGCTTCTCTGGTCCCATCCCCAAGGACACCACCAAACACTTATACTTATGCCTAGCCCTCATCGAAACATTTGACCTACACCTATATAACACCTCCTCTGCAAGTCTGTAAGATCTCCCAACACGACTCGCCCCGAGGAGAAATTTAATTTAGGAGAATACCTAAGCATTTCAAGCCTATAAATTCTTTTTGTAGACATCCGATAAATGCATTCATTGCCCATTCGTACCTTTCGGTCTCCGTGTATATCAGACTGTTTCTCGAAACTGTTAAATCCATGAAACAATTACGACCAAGTGGAAAACGCCCATTAACACACCAAATTTAGATGAATACGTCAACTACCTGTCAAACGTTCGTGCTCTCTCTGTTGTTGACTCAAACAGGTCATGTCATTCAATTAAAATACCTATTTTAACACGAATACATGTTACAGCCTTGTAGAACTTAGAACTGGATAGTTGAAATATCGCGGTGTGTTAGAAATAAAATGAATAGTGCGGGTAGCCTGAATGCCTCCCAAACCTGTTTACTAAGCCGAGACCAGCAAACAACCTCCCGACATTACTCCGGGCATAAAAGACGCAGTAGGTCAGGTGAAAAAACGTGAAATCTTTACAAATTTTGTTTTACTTACCAATGTTAGCTGCGTTTTAAGTGCCCGTGCTCGATGTGTTTATAGACAATAATCCCTGTAGTTCCGTGCTCACGTATCCAGAATTGTAGGGCCGATCTGATCCTGGTTTGTTTATGTGAGCCTGGATCGGAAGTGAGTAATCTCAGTGCGCCTTTCTCGCTCAGCACACCTATGCCTGATGTTTAGAGAGGTGACTGGGACGTATAGGCTTTTGCGTATTTATAACATTATGAACGTGTTATTCAAGTTTCTCCCACTGACTATAACAGCGTAATTAGCTTAATTAGAGAACAAAGGCTGGTAAATAAGGTAAGTTACCTTTAATATAGTGCGTTTTAGTAGACGTTTCATTTCATTGAATCCTTAAAGGGACAGTGATCTAGAGCAATTCCCGGGACTCGTTGATGCTTTTTTTGGCTCTTACTATCTCCTACGTAGTACTTAATATCTCCTACGTAGGACTTAGTATCTTAATATGGCCACCAGCCCGGTTCCTACAGCCCAAGTTCGGTTGACTTAGTATCTTAGCCAATGTTCGGTTTATATTCTTGAGGCCACCAGCCTGATTCGGTTGTCCCTGATTGGCCACCAGCCCGGTTCGGTTGTCCCTGATTGGCCACCAGCCCGGTTCGATAGTCCCTGAGCAGCACCAGCCTGATTCGGTTGTCCCTGATTGGCCACCAGCCCGGTTCGGTTGTCACTGAGTGGCCACCAGCCCGGTTTGGTTGTCCCTGATTGGCCACCAGCCCGGTTCGGTTGTCACTGAGTGGCCACCAGCCCGGTTCGGTTGTCCCTGAGCAGCCACCAGCCCGGTTCGGTTGTCCCTGATTGGCCACCAGCCTGATTCGGTTGTCCCTGAGCAGCCACCAGCCCGGTTCGGTTGTCCCTGATTGGCCACCAGCCTGATTCGGTTGTCCCTGATTGGCCACCAGCCTGATTCGGTTGTCCCTGAGCAGCCACCAGCCCGGTTCGGTTGTCCCTGAGCAGCCACCAGCCTGATTCGGTTGTCCCTGAGCAGCCACCAGCCTGATTCGGTTGTCCCTGATTGGCCACCAGCCCGGTTCGGTTGTCCCTGATTGGCCACCAGCCCGGTTCGATAGTCCCTGAGCAGCACCAGCCTGATTCGGTTGTCCCTGATTGGCCACCAGCCCGGTTCGGTTGTCACAGATTGGCCACCAGCCCGGTTCGGTTGTCCCTGAGCAGCCACCAGCCCGGTTCGGTTGTCACTGAGTGGCCACCAGCCCGGTTTGGTTGTCCCTGATTGGCCACCAGCCCGGTTCGGTTGTCACTGAGTGGCCACCAGCCCGGTTCGGTTGTCCCTGAGCAGCCACCAGCCCGGTTCGGTTGTCCCTGATTGGCCACCAGCCTGATTCGGTTGTCCCTGAGCAGCCACCAGCCCGGTTCGGTTGTCCCTGATTGGCCACCAGCCTGATTCGGTTGTCCCTGATTGGCCACCAGCCTGATTCGGTTGTCCCTGAGCAGCCACCAGCCCGGTTCGGTTGTCCCTGAGCAGCCACCAGCCTGATTCGGTTGTCCCTGAGCAGCCACCAGCCTGATTCGGTTGTCCCTGATTGGCCACCAGCCCGGTTCGGTTGTCCCTGATTGGCCACCAGCCCGGTTCGGTTGTCCCTGATTGGCCACCAGCCTGATTCGGTTGTCCCTGATTGGCCACCAGCCTGATTCGGTTGTCCCTGAACAGCCACCAGCCCGGTTCGGTTGTCCCTGAGCAGCCACCAGCCTGATTCGGTTGTCCCTGATTGGCCACCAGCCTGATTCGGTTGTCCCTGATTGGCAACCAGCCCGGTTCGGTTGTCACTTATTGGCCACCAGCCCGGTTCGGTTGTCCCTGAGCAGCACCAGCCTGATTCGGTTGTCCCTGATTGGCCACCAGCCCGGTTCGGTTGTCACTGAGTGACCACCAGCCCGGTTCGGTTGTCACTGAGCAGCCACCAGCCCGGTTCGGTTGTCACTGAGTGGCCGCCAGCCTGATTCGGTTGTCCCTGAGCAGCCACCAGCCCGGTTCGGTTGTCCCTGAGCAGCCACCAGCCTGATTCGGTTGTCCCTGATTGGCCACCAGCCTGATTCGGTTGTCCCTGATTGGCAACCAGCCCGGTTCGGTTGTCCCTGATTGGCCACCAGCCCGGTTCGGTTGTCCCTGAGCAGCCACCAGCCTGATTCGGTTGTCCCTGATTGGCCACCAGCCCGGTTCGGTTGTCCCTGAGTGACCACCAGCCCGGTTCGGTTGTCACTGAGCAGCCACCAGCCCGGTTCGGTTGTCCCTGATTGGCCACCAGCCCGGTTCGGTTGTCACTGAGTGGCCACCAGCCCGGTTCGGTTGTCCCTGAGCAGCCACCAGCCCGACTCGGTTGTCACTGAGTGGCCACCAGCCCGACACGGTTGTTCCTGAGCGGCCACCAGCCCGACTCGGTTGTCACTGAGCGGCCACCAGCCCGATTTGGTTGTCACTGAGTGGCCACCGGCACAATTTAACATTGAGAGATCTTCAATCATGATGTATATTCATTTAAACCATAATATAAATGCATGTTCTCAAAAATATAATTCGCCTCAATATTCACTGTTACAACATATTTCCACTGGTGTTGATCCACAGGTTAACAAGTAGGATTTCATATTCAATCAATCAATCAACCTTTATTTCATTTTAACCACTCACCGTGGTACATGAAAATTACATTTAGATATTTTACATATTACAAACGTGAATATACGTGCGATAAATTACAGATTTAACTTACAAATGCATTACAGATACAAGATATTAATATAGTTAGTTTTCGTATGATCGAAAATCGATTGTATGAAAGAGTTCCTAGTAACAATTGCAGTGCTGTGACTATGTGTCCCATAGTATAAATATATGTTGTATATAATTATATTATAATTTGGATTTACATAATAAATCTGTTTAAATAACTCTCTCTTTATTTTATGAAATACGAGCATACAAGTAAGTAATGGTATTCGTCGCCAAGTTGTAAGTTACACAGCTTGCAGGTACGACATTTATCATATATTTCAGACCTATCGACCAGCTGTCTCCACAGGTAGGAAATGGTTACTTGTACGGAATTTTAAAAGATAATTTACAAAGTAGATGCATATACCGTTACGCAGACACTATGGATACTCGAGTTCAAGTTTCTGATTGTTGATGACTACTTTTCCGCGTTTTGATAGACACCAGAGAGTGGCCACTCACGGAATACACCTAGATTTATACCACCAATCATCGTGGGGCGGTGAGGTAGCCTAGTGGTTAAAGCGTTCGCTCGTCACGCCGAAGACTCGGGTTCGATTCCCCACGTGGGTACAATGTGTTAAGCCCATTTCTGGTGTCCCCCCGCCGTGATATTGCTGGAATATTGCTAAAAGCGGCGTAAAACTAAACTCACTGACTGACTCGCAATTTGAATTGCCTCCAAAAAAGAATAGTGGTCGACGCCGTTTTCAGGATACGAACGGAACTTCATTGCTGCATGAGAAATACATATAAGCATCTGCTGTATGTTACCTGAGTCTTTTTCTAGCAATGGCAAAGTATTTTATTTAGTTTAAATCAAATGTGTGGGGGTTTTATTTTAGAATCAAACAGGCAGATAATTTTTTTTCAGTAAAAGGCCATTGGCCCATACTGCAGTACAATGCATGTTCACACATCACTGGAATGGTACACATGAATTTATAAAAATATTCTGCTCTTAACTCTAATTTGTACATGATATGAATATAAACTAAAATTCTTAATCACATCAACAAGCCAACACACTCTTCAATGGTGAGAAATGAAGACACAGCTGATGAGGAAAGTAAATGTAAATTTGAGTGTCGTCAGCATATAAATGCAGTCCAAGGTTGAAGGATCTGACGATATCACCTAGAGGAGAAGTATAAATAGTGAAAAGTAGAGGTCCAAGAACCGATCCCTGAGGCACGCCATAAGCAAGATCCTTAGGACTTAGTGTACAATTACATAATGTACGTACATAAACAACGCAATACGATTTTTAAAACCGATTTTGAGTTTAATATATGTTATATTTGGGATTGCATTTCTGAAAGTACACATTCTAGCACTTTTCTTGCGATGAGTCACATCTGGGATTCCCACACCCTCAGAGTTAGGCACCAAATCGCCAGCACACAAAGTCAGTAACCCACTCAGCGCTCGGCATTAATGGGTACAACAAGGACTGGTTGGCTCGGAGTCAGTATAATGTGTCTGAGTGGGGTATTCATGCTTCACTGCGGCATGGTATCTCAGTGGGCTAGCACTATAAAACCAGCTTAAGTCTGGGCTAGTACAAGCAGCCGCACATACACATACACACGCATGCACGTCGTCATATGAGCGAAATATTCTCAAGCACGATGTAAAACCCCATTTCACCTCACCTCACCTTTCTCAGTGCAGTGCAGATTTTTGTACTTATTTATTGGGCTGAGTCCCATCCGGTATTCGAACCCAGCACGATTTTGAGTTGTTACGTATTCTGAATATATGTATCATAGTGTCTTAAAGGCTCATTATCTTACCTTCATGTAAAATACTTTAATTTCATTGGTCAATGAAGCGTTAACACGTTTCCCGGTCACCCCTCCCAGGAGGGCGACAACTGGAAAACATATTACCTGCTGCCACGGTAACCGCCAAACTCTCCGCCGAGAAGCTGTATCGCTAAAAATGATATGACCTCATAATACCCGGAGTTCGAAAACCGTTCGATTAGCTGTTTTTGAGTTCACCATGTACACATTTATTTTACCGACTTTCACTGCTTTATTTAAACTATTGTATACATTGAATCGTTTGAACACTCAACTTAAACATAACTAACCATTTTCATATCAGTTTTAATCTTGTCAGAATGTTTCGCTGATTTCAAAAATACTGTTGAGAGGCAGACGCCATTTTGTTTACATGTAATATAGTTGGTAGCGATCTTCAAAGTAAAAAAAAATATATATTTTGTACATTTAACATGGCGGTAAGGTAAATACGTTGTATGCTTCTCCCTCGGGCAATACGGTTTTTGGGGGGGGATAAATTATATGGTAGGCTGATAGTTTTATTGAGCATGAGCGGAGGGTCAGTGGCTCGGGTTTCATTCCGAAAGAAGAGGGAGAAACGTGTCGGATAGTTACAGAGTGTGATGACATCCCGAAATTCCGGCTGGAAGTATCATTGTTCCTATTATTAACCACTGGTTTTCCTGATCCAAATTCGATTATTTGCAGGCCATGGTATAAGTAGAGACCTTCGTAAACATCGTCCACCAATCAATTGACTAAATGTACATAGAACATTACAGCTGTCAACACTCGGTGTTTTTGCATTTGATCATGTTCATGAAATTTAAATCTAGAAACATGTTTCTTGTTTATCAATTCAAAAAATAAATAAACGAGTACAATAACGGTGAAGTATCACTGTTGCGTCAGATTTTACATGTCGCTCGTTTGACATGTACCTGTTCAAAACTAGAACTGGTTCCCTGATTTAATTTTGGTATCGCCAAAACACACGCTTGTACTCTTGCATTGAACCATGCAGTCTATTCAGTGGTCAAGGTCATCTACGCAGGCAGGTAACATGATCGCTTGGATAGCTGTTGTTGCTTTGTAATTAAAATTGGAAACGTCATGCATGACAGAACCGCCCTTCGTTTGGTAATACTATAAAGGAAACACTTATGCAACATCAACCAAACCGTGAAACCCCCGAAGCTTGAATTTGAAAAGTAACAACCGTCGTGTTCTTGCTTGTTGTAGTCGACATGGATCCTTCTGAAATCCTCGTCTCTTTGTAAACACATCAAAAGTCTTCTCTATGACCGTTTTGAACCGTCACTGAAATGTCTATTATGTCCCTGTCTTGTGGGGAATGGCTGGCAAAAGATGTTAAAATCTTGCACTTGGTATTATTTTGCCCGGTGACTAGCTCAAAGTCTGCATAATGCCTTTGAGTTGGGTAGCCGTCACACACATGCACGCACGCATACCATGTAAGTAAAATAGTTTGCGCGCGAAGTTAAATCCCTCTTCACCACAGGATACATTGAAGGTATAATTAATTGAATATTGTTTAATTTCCAATTAGTGTTACTATTCGTGTTACCTCGTGTACAATTCGTGTAAAAACAACGGCTAGGTAAGCTTCAGATGATAATATTTTTTTATTTTCTAAAATGTTTTTTATTCTCGGAATAAGAAGTGTAGATCTATACAATGTATATAAAGAAAATGGACACATCCGAGTTTTTTTTGTTTTTTACACATAGATACAGCATTCACTCACACATCCATACAATAATAATTACAAAAATAAATTTAGATGATAATATAGCGGTGATGAGCATGTTCACTGGTTTTGTTTACATATGCAGTAAGGCGGTGGAATATAATATTGGTATATTGGTTGCACTCGTCAGTATTCCAGCTGTATGACGTCAGTCTGTAAATAATGGAGTGAAGATCCGGGATAGAATTTATCTTCAGTAGTCCATGCTTGTCGTAAGAGGTGACTAACATGATCGGGTGGTCAGGCTGTTGATCATCGGATTGTCTGGTCCAGACTCGATTAGTTACAGACCGCATATAGCTGGAATATTGCTGAGTGCGGCGTAAAACTAAAAACAAGAACGAAAGGAGTCTGGACCAGGCTATACGACCAGGTTATATGTGTCAACCAAGTCAGCAAGCTTGAGCCTAATTACCTCTTACGACAAGTATGGGTTGCTGAAGACCATTTCATATCTTCATGAGTAGTTGGAATGACGGTTGCCTCAAGTGCCTCAAGCAAGGAATAAATTATTCTCCAGTTGCAGTTGCAGTTTCCCTGGGAGATCGCTAATTCCTAGATGAATAATAATACTCGGAAACAGCTCACTACATGTGTAAGTACACGAATTTCCGCTACTCCGCCACACCATGTCAGATCCTGCATATAATGAGTCATATAAAGTGTCTCCATTGTTCTGATGTTGCGTAGTTCGACATTCCAACCCTTGTTCACTCACTTACGGAGACCGCCTTCGTGGTGTAGTGGTTAACTAAAGACGTTAAAATATGGTACTTGTTGGTCGATGCCTGGCGTTCAGCATTAATGGTCGGCTGGGAGTCAGTATAATGTGTCTGAGTGGGGTATTCATGCTTAACTGCGGCACCTCACTTCACCTCACCTCACCTCACCTCACCTCACCTCACCTCACCTCACCTCACCTCACCTCGCCTCGCCTCGCCTCGCCTCGCCTCACCTCACCTCACCTCACCTCGCCTCGGTTGGGTCCAATCTGAAGGTCGACGTCCTGAGACTAGTTTCACTTTGCCACTTAATAATGGATTACGAGGACAATGCAGGATCAAAGTGTTGTTAGAGGAGGATAATCCGGATTATGCGGATGAGAGCGCACCTAATGAGAAGATGACAACAGATGACAGATTTTTATTAGTTGACAGATTTTAGCATTTTTAATAAATACATCGTAAGTTCATATAGCATACATTTTTTCAAAGAGTTTAACCTAAATGCAATAGGTGGGATGCTGAATCAGCAAACTGCCTCACGGACAGTGTTCCTTGTTCAAGCTGGTGACAGATGTTATCCAGTCGTCGCTCCAAATCCCTGTATTTCCTCTTTTTGGAGGGACGCTTCTGGCCAGCAGCATACTGGACTAGCTTGTTTTCGGTGTTGGTCTGTTCACGTGACAAGAAGGACACAATCTCGAAAATGTTTGGATGAGCCTTGCCGACGTATTTCTTCAGGCGGGAATGCCATCCTTCTAGGTGGTTGTTTGTTCTTGGCCCATCTGAGTTGTGGTGGTTCCATTGCGTCATGTGCAGATCTCCCTCCACCCAGAAGTTGGTCATGTAGTCCCCGAGTTGTCGGCACCGGTCATCATCTGGCATCGTCGCCAAGGTATCCAGCCACAGGTCCTCTACCTGAAGAAGAAAAGATACATAAATTAATGTTACTGAATATACAGGGCAAAATAACACCTTTGTTACACAACCTATTGGGGTGGAGTTAACTATGGTGCTGCTGGGTTCTCCTCCATACACACTGGGTGAAGTGGAAGAAGCAGCCCTTCCAGTCGCTTCGGGGGAACACGATCGCAGAGGCGTTTCTGGCGGCAACCTCATAGTCCATCTGCAACAAAATATTGGAACATCATGATACTAATATTGACAACAATGGACAGAAACTGTGCATGGGTTTATAATTATTCTCTCCGAAAAAAAGAAGCATTCATTTGTATTTACCTGGATCTTCTGCGGATCCAAATGATGACCTCTGGTCGCGGCTGCATCGACAAGTAGTCTGAACATCCTGGTGTAAGTATCCTCTTTCTTATCTGGCAGGAAGAAGAATACCAAAGGAAACATGTTCCCATCTACCATGCCATGGATAGTGTACAACTGGTGAAATATGGTCGGTGCCACGTAGAATGTGCCGTCTCCGTAGATGGTGTCTGATTCGCAGAGATGACACAAGTTATCGGCGGTGGAAAACCCAAGGATTCTCTTGTCATAATCGTCGTCTTGTATTCACCGGGGGAAACTAGGTCTTCTCGTCTGAGGGGAAGTGGTGGCATCACCGTTCGCCTGGCTCTGTAGAGAGTGCTCCGGGCACCCGGGAAGGTGGGCATGGCAGTAACAATGGCTTTGGTCTCATCATTCCAACTTCCATCTCTCATGTCGATAAGGCCTTCTTCGTAGAGGGACTGCATGGGCTGGAGGGTCGAAGCTGCCTTCACCTTCAGCTTGTCTAGCGTCTCCTTCGCCTACAAAAAGCAAAGAATTATTAACCATTTGGTTCCATTTATTAAGCATCTGTTATAAAATTCCAAACTTTTCCATTTATTAAGCATCTGTTATAAAAATCTGTGGCAATAACAAAATTTATACATATATAAGAATTTAAACTCTTACCTTAATATCACTCGTGACAGTTTGATGATTGTGTTCATCGTTCACCATGGTGACGATGTCATTCGTTGTTGATGCTGTGGATTTGCAGCCTTTTGCAGTACATATCCAAGATATCCAGTCTCGTTTTCTCTTGCTGACTCTGTACATGAACCCGCCAACAACCAAGTAACGACCGCCGCGGTCTGTAGGGATGAATCTCTGATCTCTGATCGAATGTGAATCCTTTGGCCATTCCATAGATATTTATACCAAAGATATGAACAGTGACATGAGTTCACCCTCAAGTGACCCGTGCATGTGCGACGAGTTCACCTTATCAAAACATCTAGAGTAGATTACCCTAAGCCTAATCAGAACCTAAACTTCAAAGAAAACCGCAGGTCGGCGTCCTGAGACTAGTGGAAAATCGAAAGGTCGGCGTCGTGAGACGACACCAACTATATTTGCAGTGAACTCCCTTTGTTGCACCAGGATCCTCCTAATATATGTGGATTTACGTGATGGCACCAGTAGCATAACCCTGTGCACAAAGGTGCATGACAGAATATTGAACGTCAGTGCACAAGAATGCCTAAGAACTATCCTCAGAACCACGTTCCATTTGGTGTAAAGGGGAAATAAATGATGATAATTTCAACTTTACAATAATCAAATTTCCTTCCATATCGAGCAGTGGCGGTGGGGTAGCCTAGTGGTTAAAGCGTTCGTTCGTCAAGTGTGAAGCCAATTTCTGGTGTCCCCCGCCGCGATATTGCTGGAATATTGCTAAAAGCGGCGTAAAACTAAACTCACTCACTCACTCACTCACTCACTCACTCACTCCATATCGAGCAGTATTCCAACAGCTCCAGTCTTTGTTTACATTTTCATGGTATTTTTGTGGTATAATCGAGCACGCTCTTTTTATAAAGATTTTAAAGAGCGTTACACGAGTCATGTTCAAAACGCTGTTATCAAAATCGATCAAGGATACAACATTCAGTGCCTCAGAACAGTTTTAACAAGTTTTTATGGTAAACGTGCGCGAAAAATTTCCAATCTTAACGGACCGTCGACAAAATGGCGTCCGATGCAATTCCCTTTTTTTGATTTGCACAATAAGTTCAAGTATATATTCAGGTTGACAATAGACTAGTCCTTGCATAATATCATGTTCATGACGGTAGCCACCTTTCCTCGAAGAGATGGTATCATCACTATGTTGATAGCGATTCACTAACACATGCTCATGATTGAGCCGGAATTGTACAATCTCAACGATTTCTCATGGACGTGGGAAGGGTTTTGTCGCTTTATGTACACAATGGTTGTTTTCATGTGAATGATGTAGCGCTATTGAAGCAGGGCGTTGTGATGAGAGATGGTTTACCGCATTCCAGTAGTATCAATGCGTGTATGTTTGGGTTGGGGAGCCAGAGGTACTTCACATTTGAGACGTGTACTACTTTGGTGAATACCCGAGAAGATCCGGGTTAGAATCGATCTTCAAAAACCGAAGCTTGTCGTAAGAGGCGACTAACGGGATTGGGTGGTCAGGCTCGGTGATTTAATTAACGCATGTCATCGGTTCCCAATTGCGTAGATCGATGCTCATGCTGTTGATCACTAGAGTGCAGCGTTAAACAAGAACCAACCAACCAACTTTGGTGACAGCCACCAGCACTGTATGACGCCGAAACACCAAGGATTCGGACCCCTGTCAACGATATGGTTGAACCAGAAATCGGTTCGGAAATCGGTTCATTTGTGGCGTGTGGAAGAGTGTTGACATCAGTTTCAGGTACAGACATACTGTTCCAAATTTTCCAAGTAAGTTTATTATATTTTATATGTGTCAGTTTTGGAATTGCGGTGACATTTTGTGGGAATGATAATCAGATCTCCAATTGTAACGGGTATAACGAACTAACGGGCATAACGAACTAAGGGGTATAACAAACTAACGGGCATAACGAACTGACGGGTATAACGAACTAACGGGCTATAACGAACTAACGGGTATAACGAACTAACGGGCATAACGAACTAACGGGCATAACGAACTGACGGGTAAAACGAACTAACGGGCATAACGAACTAACGGGCATAACGAACTAACGGGTATAACGAACTGACGGGTATAACGAACTGACGGGTATAACGAACTAACGGTCATAACACATTGACGGGTATAACGAACTGACGGGTATAACGAACTAACCGGTATAACGAACTGACGGGTATAATGAACTAACGGTCATAACACACTGACGGATATAACGAACTAATATAACGAACTGACGGGTATAACGAACTAACGGGTATAACGAAGTAACGGGCATAACGAACTAACGGGTATAACGAACTGACGGGTATAACGAAGTAACGGGCATAACGAACTAACGGGTATAACGAACTAACGGGTATAACGAACTAACGGGTATAACGAACTAACGGATATAACGAACTGACGGGTATAACGAACTAACGGACATAACGAACTAACGGATATAACGAACTGACGGTATAACCAACTAACGGGTATAACGAAGTAACGGGCATAACCAACTAACGGGTATAACGAACTGACGGTATAACCAACTAACGGGTATAACGAAGTAACGGGCATAACCAACTAACGGGTATAACGAACTAACGGGTATAACGAACTAACGGATATAACGAACTGACGGGTATAACGAACTAACGGGCATAACGAACTAACGGATATATAACGAACTAACGGGTATAACGAACTAACGGGTATAACGAACTAACGGATATAACGAACTGACGGGTATAACGAACTAACGGGCATAACCAACTAACGGATATATAATGAACTAACGGGTATAACGAATTAACGGGTATAACGAACTAACGGGTATAACTAACTAAAGGATATAACGAACTAACGGGTATAACGAATTAACGGGTATAACGAACTAACGGGTATTACGAACTAACGGATATAACGAACTAACGGGTATAACGAGCTAACGGGTATAACGAACTAACGGATATAACGAACTAACGGGTGTAACGAACTAACGGGTATAACGAATCAACGGGTTTAACGAACTAACGGATGTAACGAACTAACGGGTATAACGAACTAACGGTAACGGGTATAACGAACTAACGGATATAACGAACTAACAGGTATAACGAACACGCTTATAACGAACTAACGGGTACAACGAACTAATAATTCTTAGCCCCAGCGACTTCCTGTATATTTTAGTCGAAATGCATACAAAAAAATACGGGTATCACGAACTAGAATAAGTGGTACCTTCGTTATTCGTAGTTTACTGTACTACTATTTAGAAAGAAAAAACCCCGAATTAAATGACACTGATAACAATTAAATATCTCCAATACAGTGGTCTCATGGCTGCATTCGCGCGTTTAATGATAATTCTTTCACAAAATAATTTCATTACATACCCCCGTGTAGGATGTTTAGAAAGACAATACATTTTAAAGATATTGATGACAGTAAAGGTTTTAAGACGACACTGTTTTGGTAATACAAGTAAACGTTTTATAATTCAGTGTTAAACATGAACTGTTCGATACACTGCTGTTGTGTCTATACGATCAATATTTAAAGTCAAGTTTGTCAATACACATGATGTTGCTAAAGATGTATCTGCACGAATGTCTTCATGCTGTGGAAAGACCGTCTCCTAAACCATTATTTTACCAGTTGTGTATAAAGCACATCGGTGCCGTTACCAAAGCATATTACATCACTAATGTGTTCACGATGACATGATTGGCGGGGTTTCAAGTCCGATATAATCTACCCTTGGGTGAGATAGGTAATCTGACCCTATGACGATTACTTTCGTAGTTGGTATAAAAAAATTGAAATGCCATTTGTTTGACTCAAATAAATATTCCCCTGTTTGGTTCAAAGCCTTAACTGGGCACATGCAGATTGTGAACAAATGTAAAGGTCTGTTTTCGTTTAAAAGTTCAAATGCGGCAAACAATTCATTAAAAACGCCTTGAACGTCTCCGCACGTGCGTGCGTGTGTGTGTGAATATTTATAGGGCAGGTGGTATTGCTAAAACATCTTACACATATATAAGATGTAACGGCTTGTTATTACGACAGTAATCATAGTTTTAGTTTCTGTGTTCCTTGTTCTAAATGAATTATGTAATACTAACTTTTACCCTTCCTAGTGTGTGTTTAGTTTCCATTAAATACTATAATAAACATCTAAATTTATCAAAGAAGTATTACGTACATTCTATTTGCAGGGGTCTTCCCACTTGTCCGGCACCTATTGTTTAAAAGTTCCAGATCAGTGGAGCGCGATAATCCCTGAGAACAAAAGGTAAAATCCTTCTTTTGCTCCCGGGGCGGTTGGGTAGTCTAGTGGTTAACGCGTTGGCTCGTCACGCCGAAGACCCGGGTTCGAATCCCGACATGGGTTCAATAAGTGAAGCCCATTTCTGGTGTCCCCCGCCGTGATATTGCTGGAATATTGCTAAAAGCGGCGTAAAACCAAACTCAGTCAGTCATTTTTTTGCTCCCCTGTCGGTCTGTGATATTTGGTCACCCAAGCCGGTCAGAGAATATTTGGTTACCCAATATTTAATGATGACTTTAAGTACAAAAAGGAAAAAAATCTCACACAGTTACACAATTATTTTACACATTTCATGAACACTTTTACATGCATACATCTATTGCACATATCTTCATTCATTTTTCATATTGCATAGCACTTATAAATACACAGTTACATGCAATTATTACATGCATGTCACCCCTATTTGCAGACTTTAGTTCGGCTTTTAATGCAATCCAACCCTCACCTGATGCTCAAATGAGCATGACTTTGTGGATTAAAGAGTTTCTTACTAATCGGTTTCAGTACGTGCGAGTTAAAAGAACACGTTCACAAACAAGACTGCTAAACACGGTGCTCCACAGGGTTGTGTGCTGTCTCCAGATCACTTCTATACTCACGACTGTCAGAGTAATGACGATGGAGCATTAACTATGCAGCAATCGTTGGATTTACAAGTGAAATCTACGTTTGCCTATA